CATCGGGCTCCCTGCTCAGCGGGAAGCCTGCTTCTCCCTCTCCCACTCCCCCTGCTTGTGTTCCTGCTCTCGCTGTCTCTGTCAAATAAATAAAATCTTAAAAAAAAAAAGAGAGAGAGAGTGCACACAGGTGAGCAGGGGGAGGGGCAGGGGGAGAGGGAGAGAATCTCAAGCTGACTCCTCGCTGAGGGCAGAGCCCAACCCAGGGCTTGATCCCAGGACCCTGACATGACCTGAGCTGAAACCAAGAGTCGGAAGCTTAACTGAGTCACCCAGGTGCCCCTTAACCAGCATTATTGATTAAATCTTTTGTGCAGGTAGGAATCAGCTGTGGAAGATAGGAGACTGTTGATATTGTTGAATTTGGGTCAAGAGTACATGGGAGATCTTCATACTCTTCCACTTTTGTATGTTTGAAAGTTTCCGTAATAAAAAAGTAAAACAAAAAAAGGAAAAAAAAAGACAAAAGTTAGCTGTGGTACTTTTTAAAAATATAGGTGCCTGGTTCTCACTCTTGGCCATTCTCATTCATAGGTCTTAGATGGGCCTGGTTGTCTGTATATCTAGAAGATCTATAGGAACTCCTAATGTACACCAAATATTGAACCCCACTGGTCTGTTGCATTCAGTTGGTACCTAGCAGTGGACACTTGATCTTAGATTTTAAGCTCATTTATTTATTTCTCAAATTGTTTGATTGGCTGGTGCTGGGGATTCAAATAAGACACAGTGCTGCCCTCAAAGCACTTTCAAAGCAGGATATAAATAAGTAAACAGTAAGTGCAACAATATGGGAAGTACTGAGCAATGTGCTTTGAAATGGATTTTGTTTAATCTTCATGACGGCTTTAAGAGGTAGGTACTATTACCTTTCTCTGATAGATGAGGGAACTGAGGCTTAGAGAAGTTAAGTCGCATAGTTAAAAAATCACCAAGCTGGGATTCGAGCCCAGGCTATGGGACCCCAGAGACTGTGATCACAACCACTGCATGCCTTCCTGGAATTTTATACCACAAAACAGAACAAAATAAAAATCAAAATTGATCACAAAAGTAAAATCACACATAAAAATCTTTAAAAAACACAGTACATTTCAAAAACCAAACACTTAAAAAAATCAGCCGTATTTTAACTCAACCTTTGAGGAATTTTTCTGCATGGGCTGGACTGACTGAGGCATCTGAAAATAGGAGTCTGGTGAAGTCTCCACTGTTTCCTGGCAAGTTTCCCTGAAGTTTTCATTGCTCTAAGGACTTTTGAAATGTGTTAAAAATCAGACATTCTTGAAAAATGTCTGTTACCCATTTGGTGTGCACGAATGCCTCTAGAACTCCTGAGTGCTTTATACTTGGGGAAGTTTCCATGGTGACTTAGGACTCCAAGGCACGCGCTGCTGCTATGTGGTTGTAAAAGACTGAGTTGGTTTCTACCATGATGAAGGGATCATTTATAATAAGGAAAGTAGTAAAAATGACAAGTTGTGAGTGTAGTCTTAGTAAGTTTCTTGTTGTCTGGGGCGCCTGGGTGGCTCAGTTGTTAAGCATCTGCCTTTGGCTCAGGTCATGACCCCAGGGTCGTGGCATCGAGCCCCACATCGGGCTCCCTGTTCTGTGGGAAGCCTACTTCTCCCTCTCCCACTCCCCCTGCTTGTGTTCCCTCTCTCGCTGTGTCTCTCTCTGTCAAATAAATAAATAAATCTTTAAAAAAAAAAAAAAAGTTTGTTGTCTGCCTATAGTTTGAATCCTCATAGCATCTCTGTAAGGTATAATTTACGATGATCATTTTATAGAGGAAGAAAGCACATGTCTGAAAGGCTAAATAACTTACTTGTAGTCATATGGCTAATCAGTATCAGAACCAATATCATCTAGCTCCAAAATTGTTTTCCTTCTGTCTTACCGTGTATGATAGAAGCAGTTGGACATTAGGTTTGAGACTCAGGTATGGTCCTGGCTGGCTGGCTGGCATAGTAGGTTTAGAAGGCATCAGCATAGAAGGCATTGAAATCATGGGAGTGGCTGAGATTGCCCAGGGAGACTGTGTAGGGTGAGGACCGATAAAAGCTGGGGACAGATCCTGGATTCTGGAGGACAGAGTTCATGTCCTTCACTTTTTGCACACTAGACTTGTTGTAGTGAACATCGGTTATTTCTAATCTTAAATGTTATTTCTTATGAACTCTGGCTTTGATGGTCTGATTCTATATATTGGAGGTGGCTCCCATTTACTGACCAGGAGGTGTTGTGTTTGTCATTCCAGATTACCTAAAACCAGATCTATGGATGATCTGCTTTCTGCCTGCGACACAAGCAGCCCCCTGACTCGCACATCCAGTGACCCGAACCTCAATAACCACTGTCAGGAGGCCAGAGTAGGCCTGGAGCCCTGGCATAGCAATCCTGAGGAATCCGAGACCTTCGTGGAATCTGGGGCAGGAGGTCCTCAGCAGACTGCAGGAGAAATGGGTCTTCCTTCCCCTCTGCCCAGCAGCCAGAAAGACTACTTGAGCAATAAACCCTTCAAGAGTCACAGAAGCTGTTCTCCAAGTTACAAACTGCTTAGTACTGCAGTGCCTCAGGAGATGAAGAGCAACATCTCTGATCCTGAGATCAAAGTCCTGGAAGAGACTAAGGCACCAGCTCCAGACCCTCCTGCCCACAGTGAGCTGAGCAGGACTTTAGATGGCACGGAGCAGCCACCTGAACCTTGTCCTGAAAAAGCAGCTGTCCATGCACTCTCTGAAGTTTGTTCCAACAAGTGTCATGGAGTTTGTGATTTTCCTGAGTCTTCCCAGGACTCCCTGACAGGTGCCCCCCAACGGGCCCTGCTGGATTCCATGCTAGGTGTGCCCTCCAGATGTGCTCCAGATCACAGTCTGGGCACCCTTTGCAACCCACCGAGTGCTACCTGCCAGACTCCTCCAGAGCCAAGCACTGACTTCCTCAGCCAAGATCCCCCGGGGTCTGTGGCAAGCATCTCCCACCAGGAACAGCCCAGTTCTGTGCCAGATCTGATTCATAAGGAGGAATACGCTGGCAAAAGAGGGAATAATAGGAATGGGCCGTTACTGGAAAATCCTCGCTTTGGGAAAGTGCCACTGGAATTGGCCCGAAAGCCAATTTCTCAGAGCCAGATCAGTGAATTCTCTTTTTTAGGATCCAACTGGGACAGCTTCCAAGGAATGGTGACTTCATTCCCAAGTGGGGAGACCACCCCTCGGCGGCTGCTTTCCTATGGCTGTTGTAGCAAGAGGTCAAGCAACAAGCAGGTGCGGGCAACAGGGCCCTGCTTTGGGGGCCAGTGGGCTCAGAGAGAAGGGGTGAAGTCACCAGTCTGTTCTAGTCATTCCAATGGACACTGTACTGGTCCAGGAGGAAAAAATAACCGGATGTGGTTGTCCGGTCATCCAAAGCAGGTCTCCAGCACAAAGCCTGTTCCACTGAGCTGCCCTTCTCCAGTGCCTCCACTCTACCTGGATGATGATGGACTCCCCTTTCCCACGGATGTGATCCAACATAGATTACGGCAAATCGAAGCAGGGTACAAGCAAGAGGTGGAGCAGCTACGTCGACAAGTGCGTGAGCTTCAGATGAGGCTGGACATCCGTCACTGCTGTGCCCCTCCAGCAGAGCCCCCCATGGACTATGAGGATGATTTTGTAAGTATTCACCACTGCTATCCATCCATTCGTTTATTCTATCCATCCAGCCTTCTATCCGGTCAACATTTATTCATTGGGTACTTACTGTGTGCCACCGTGTTAGGTGGTTGGGCTGTAGGGTGAAGGACATAGTCTCCACTCTCCAAGGGGCTCACGGTGTATTGGGAGAGATAAGCAGACAACCAGAATGATGGTCTTAAGTGTTACCGTGGAAGGAAGCATCAGGTGTTGGGGTCCGAGGTGGAGTGAAGGCTTTCCTGAGAAGATAATGTTTGAGCTGAGTGCTGAAGAATTTGTCATATTCTAGGTAGACAGTGAAAAGGAAATACCATTCTCAAAAGCATGAAGGCAATAAGTACTCCAATGGGATGGCTTGAACAAAGGGGTAGGGTGTGTGTTTGTGTGTGTGTGTGTGTGTGTCCACGTGCATGTACAGGTGTGCTGGGGCCATGCGGGAGGGAGTTGGGTAGTGACGTGGGAGCTAATATTAGAGAAGTAGACAGGGTTTGGAAAGGTCAGCTGGAGATCCCTTCTTGCTTGGATTCTGCCCTCAAGGCAGCACCATTTTTGGCCACTATCATAATCAGATTTGTATTTTAAGAATATTATTCTAGCAGTAGTGTGTCAAGTGGACGAGGCAGTTGAAACCCACGTTGGGAGGCTGGTTAATATGTTTTGGAATAACCCAAGTGAGAGATGGTGAGGACTGTCTAGGCTTCGCTGTGTTGGGAGTCCTCCAGTTTGGGGACACAGTTCTTGGGGAGCTTCTAGGAGTCAGCTTCTTGGCCACAGTATCCTGTCATGAACACAGGCACTTCCCTTCCTCCTGTTAAGACATCCCCACTTGCCTGTTGTCTGCTTGCTGGGATGGGATGGTCAGCTGTTACAATACAAAAACAGCCATAGACAATACATAAATAAATGAGTGTGGCTGTCTTCCAATAAAACTTGATTTACGAAAACAGGCAGTGGGCTAGATTTGGCCTCTGGGCCATAGTTTGTGAGTCCCTGGTTTAGAATATAATGAGAAATATTTCCACGCTGTGATAAAGCATATTGGTTAAGAGCACGGGTCTGAAGCCAAAGTACAGTTGACCCTTGAACAATGCAGGGTGAAGGGTGCCGGCCCCTCGTGCAGTCAAAAATCCACTTACAACTTTTGAGCCCTCAAAACTTAACTACTAATAGCTACTGTTGACCAGAAGCATTACTGATAATATAAACAGTCAACTAACATACATTTTGTATGTTAGATGTACTGTATGCTGTGTTCTTACAGTAAAGTAAGCTGGAGAAAAGAAAATGTTACTAAGGAGATCGTAAGAAAGAAAAAATACATAGTCCTATACTGTATTTCTTGAAAAATATCTGCATACAAGTGGACCCATGCAATTCAAACCTGTGTGGTTCAAGGGTCAACTGTAGTAGGTTTAAATTCCAGGTTTACTACTTACTATCTCTTGACTTTCTCAATGCTTAGTTTCCTTATTTGTAAAATAGGGATGATAATAATAATAGTATACATCATAAGCTTCTTGGGAGGAATTAAAGAAGTACATGCATGTAATGTAATTAGAATAGTACCTGATGCATAGTAAACAATAAAGGTTAGTGATGGTGAAGATGGTGTTGATATCTTTGCCTTTTCTTCAGACATGTTTGAAGGAGTCAGATGGCAGTGATACAGAAGATTTTGGCTCTGATCACAGTGAGGACTGCCTTTCAGAAGCAAGCTGGGAACCTGTTGATAAGAAAGAGACTGAGGTATGTGCAGGCAAATGCATACTTACGTGAGGCACTGAGTTCTCATATTTATCAGAGATGAGTGACATGCTGTACACGGAGCTCTCTCCTAGATGACTGTCTTCTTAGGCAAGTAGTGGCCAACTATAAAGACAGACCTTGTTGTTTTCTCCTGAGATGCTCTCCTTGTTGCAGTGTTGCTCTTCCACTTGGTTGACAAGGACCTGGAATTTTTCTTTGTGCCTTCTGTTAGGTGACTCGCTGGGTTCCAGACCATATGGCATCACATTGTTATAACTGTGACTGTGAATTCTGGTTGGCCAAACGAAGACACCATTGCAGGTAAGATGTTCTGTAGGATTCTTTATGGCTTATAACACAGCGACGTACATGTATATGAGCTAAGTTGAGTTAATCTGAAAATGGAGATGTCTTTATAGGGACGATTTTTTGTTTTCGCCCAACTTTTCTCTTTATTTACTCATGTAAGGCCTTTTCAAGTATCATTCGTTCTCAGTATATGGGCATTTCTGATGAACTCTTCCCTCTTTGTGCTTTGGCAGAAATTGTGGGAATGTGTTTTGTGCTGGCTGCTGCCACCTGAAGTTGCCCATTCCTGATCAACAACTCTATGACCCAGTTCTCGTCTGTAACTCATGTTACGAACACATCCAAGTATCTCGTGCCAGGGAACTCATGAGCCAACATCTGAAGAAACCCATTGCTACAGCTTCCAGCTGAATGCCAGAGGAGATGACCTGTCCAATTTTAGCAGGTTTGAAGGGAGGATCTGCTTCAGGTGTACCTTTGAAGGTTCCTTGGTATGGGTCATGAAATCACAGAGCTCAAAGATACCATCTTGAGAAATCCTCCTTGGTACCATGAGACTGGAGCAGAGGAATTCCAATTTGGCAGGAGGTCTTCTACTGGTGAGACCCTCACCTTGGGGTAATGGTCCTGGATCCAGACCCAGAGTCTGGAAGCTTAATGTTGAGTTGGTGACTCCCGCTTTTCTCCTGGGGGTCACAAGATGATGATTTCATAGATACTGCCTGATGATGTGCCCCAAACAGCAATAGAGAGACATATGTATAACCAAACTCCAAGTGATAAACAGATCCATCTCTCCTCCACCTGGAAAAAAGCAGATTCTAGTATATAAGATAGGAATTCTATCCTATTTGAAATGAACTATAACCTGTTCCTCTGTGCTCTGTGTCTGTGCATGAAGGCTCAGTTTTAGAGGCACTCCCTCTAGTTGCAGTAGTTCTGTCTTTCTGTGGAGTTTGGTTTAAAGACTGGTTTAGCAAGTGGAGGTTTTGCTGTATTTTTTCACTTGGCTCATCAGCCAGCATCAGTGAATACTCAGTTTAGAGGGACAGTTCTAAGGAGTGAGACATTTTTGGGAGCAGAGGAAAACTCTGCTGATGTTCGATTCTGGCAAAAGTCAGTTATTTTGAGCTGTGAAGGCAGTAGTCTCTGTTACTCAGTGGCAGCTCTTAAGGTATGCACTGTGAAGAATGAGAAGGGAAAAGCAGAAATGATCCTTGTCAAATATTTGCTGATTGTGCCCGCCCTTTGCGCCTGACTTTTCCTAGTTGTCCTGGTGCTAACACAGGAGTTACACCTTGATCCTCTCCTGGCATGAAAATAAAACAATGGTTTTCTTTTTGTTGTTGTTCCATTGCCCACTTCCCTCATGTTGTCTTTCCCTTGGCTGCTGCCTCCTCTGGATCACACTGCTTCTTATCCTGAACACTTGACACCTTGAGGGTAGAATTTAGCATTTGGTTTTTACCTCCTAGAATATGCTGTTTGGTATGTGAGGGTTTCAGTACAAATGCTGCTGTCTATTTCTGTGCACTTAACAATGGAACCCAAACAGAAGAGAATAAAGCCTTGATACCAAAATTGGGAGAGAAAATGTGTCCATTTGGACCAAACATTGGTTTTTTTTGTTGTTTTGTTTTGTTTCATCTTAATATGTACCAGTGGCACTTAACCAAAAGATACAGTGACATAGCCATGTACTTTGGTTGGGACAGATATAGTCTCCTTGACCTGTAATGAAACCACTAGTATTTCCTTTATACATTTTCCTTAATCCATTGGTGTATAAAAGGTAAATTACATTTAGGCTTACCTTACCTGTTTTAAAACTATGGTAGCTGTCTGTCTAACTGCTACTTTCATGTTGCTTCCTAGAAAAAAAAAAATTCATTTGAAAATAACTAGGATCTGCATTTAGAACAAGAATTGTTACTTGTCCTGACCTTTTCTTCAGTCCTACAGAGAAGCATCTGCGCTTTTATACTTGTCATGGATGTAACCTAAAAAGTTTTGGCGTATTTAGGTCAGCCTAGCAGAACTTTTTTTTTTTGTTTAAATGGAGTTGAATAATGGAGATTTGTGTCTGGGAAATTCCTGAGATCACTGAAAAAGTAACAAACTATTCCTTGTCTCTGATATGTAAAATTCTCCTAAGCATTTTCTCAATCATTAAAATTTACTGCCAGTTGCGAGTGGCTTTTTAAATAAATTGACTTTCATTGCACTTCACTCTGCCCATTTTCAGGGGGAGTAAGACTGGTAACATTTGAGGAGACTCTATCTGTCTACTTTTGTGTGGCTGTTTTGAGGGACTGTCCCATCAGTGAACATACTGCATGGCCTTGGAGAGAGACTCTGGGCTCTCAGCTCAGATGTATTCATCAAATACTCCTTTCAGAGCTCTTGTGGGTGTAAGTGACATGATGTGGCCAAAAATCCAAACTGTGCAGTTGCGTTGTGACAAACATGCAATGTGCTGTAAAAACTCAATACAATTTAAATAAAATCTCTATATTAGTGCTGCTTTGTTGGGCCTTTTTATTCATTTTAATTTCTAAGAAGCTTGATAGTCATTTTTTCTTTGACCACAAGAAAGGACTGAAACATACTCCTTCCTCCCAACCATTTCCATTTCTAAATGGACCTTTCTTTTTATCAGCACAGCACCTGCTATATTCTTATTTATGTATCGGATAGGGATTTATCCTTATGGATACTGTGGAATTCTCTCCCATCTCATGTGAGCTTTATTTCTGTGTAATGTCTAAAATTGCACCGGCTGGTTGACCAGGCACACAGGATTGTATTTACATTCTTCCGATTCCCTCCTCAGAGGCACCTCAGTTCTCAGTAAACCTGTCCTGAGCAAAATATTGCCGTAAAAAGGTCTATTAAAAAAACATATAAAATGGTACTATGTAAAAGGTGAATCGTTTACTCAGGATACCATACCCCCATCGCCATTTTTATTTTGGAGAGACAAGCAATTAAACTGTTAGTTCATATTTACGGTAAAATCTACAGATTATAGAGTTTATACTACAGTGTAATCTACAGATTGTAGAGTTAGGCCCTTTGTTCTCCAGAATGGCTGACTTTGAGTTGCCAAGTGTACACTCTTAAGAATTCGAAATCCCTACACGCCGGTTGTGGTGATAAACACGAATCTTCGCATTCGACACCGGATAATCGGGCTTATTTCTTTGCAGATTTACCCTTACCTGGTGGGCAGCAACTCCGCCGAAGTTCGGCGGTTCGCGTACGCCGCCGAGAGAACGCGACTCCCCGCGGCCGCGCCCCACGCTGTTGCACGCGGCCGGGCTCCACGCGGCGTCGTCGGGCGGACTGGGCGGCGCAGCGTCCAGGGGGCGGGTCGGCTCACGCCGCGTTCGGCTGCGCAGCGGGAACTCGAGGCCCCATTGGCCGCGCTGGAAGGCGCGTTGGGGGCTCGTGCGCCAACGGTCCCAGGGTCCGCGGCGGCCAGGCGCAGGCAGCAGGGGGGGCAGGGCGCAGCGAAGGCCGGGCGAGGGTGGGGGGGGGATCGAGAACGGGGTGGGAGAGCCAGGCTCGGCGGGGCGAGTCCCAGTGCCCGGGCGGGGGCGATGGAGGAGGCGCTGCTCTCCACCCCCATCAACCCCAACAACTTCCCCGCCAAGCTGTGGCGGTTGGTGAACAGTCCCCGGTACCGCTCGATCCGCTGGGACGGCCGTGGCGAGGGGCTGCTCATCGACCAGCCGCTCTTCGAGGCCG